TGTACAACAAGCCTGAATGGGAAAAGCCAGTTTCCCAGGAACACTGGAAGATATTATGGACTGGCCAGAAGGCAGAGATTTTTGAGCATTGCCTGAGTGGTGACTTCTACCCAAGAAGCACCACCATAAAACAAGCTATGCGAAAATGAAAGAGTCTATGCCCTGTTTACTGATAGATCCTGCTGTGTGATAGGAAATCATCAGAGGTGGAAACCTCTTGTCCAGAGTCCCACACAAGGAGTCATTGATGCTGCTGCAGGGGAAAGTAAATTGAGCCAATTTGGAGAAGAGAAAGCCATCCTACTAGCCCTTGAGATTGATGAACAAGAAAAGTGGCCTGTACTCTATCTCTTTACTGACTCCTGGATGGTGGCTAATGCCCTATACGGGTAGCTGCAGCAGTGGAAGACCAATTGGTGATGAAGAAGTAAAGTCATCTGGGCTGGTGCATTGAGGCAGGACATTGCTGCATGGGTAGAAAACATGACTCTGAAAGAATGTCATGTAGACACTCACATGCCCAAAAGTTGTACCACTGAAGAACATGAAAATAATTAATTAAGTGTGCTGGTTTTTGCATTTGAGCCACCTATGATAGTGAATTTTTCTGAGAGGAGCTGCTAAGAGCTTCCTCTGTGCCCAGCAAAACCATTTTGTGGCTAGCTTTGAGAACAGACATGTTAATAAGCCAATTAAAAGCTAGATATACCTCTGTGACATTCACATTTTAAGAGAAACAAAACCCGAGGAAGCTCTCTTTACTTCTGCTTTCTTGCATTTTCTTCCCCTTCCTGGTAGGGCCATCCCGTGCTGGGCCACACAGCCTGACCACTGGGATGAGCAGTGAGGAAAGGGATGCCCAGGCCAAGCCATGGCACCGGCCATTGCTGAGCCCCACCCACAGTTGCTGGGTTGGGCCAGCTTTGCTGCTGGGACAGAGCCCTCGGAGCAGCCCAAGGCCAGGCTAGCTCAGCCAAGATTCTGCCACCATTGAGGTTCATCCACAACCACTGGGAAGGGGGAGGGGAAGTCATCAGCCTGCAGTTGAAATTTAACAAAGCAGGGGCCGGAGACTAGCTCTGTGGCCAGAGCAGCTGCTGCCATTCTGGTCAGCCCCCTGAAATCCTGACACAGGCCCCCCAGTGCAGCCTGAAGATCCATCATCACAACTACTTCGGCTGCCACCAGACCTGAGTCATGTGGCTATCTGCAAGCCACAGGTGAGATATTAACTCTTTTAGTGCAAGATGAAACCTACAAACATCAAATCTCTCTCTAGAGTGAAAGATAAGGAAAGAGTAAAGATACAGAGGGAACAACATGAGACATGAAGGTCAGTAAGAAGAAGTCAGGTCTCAGATGGGAGAGATTGAGAAGATGCCTCAGTCCTGGGCTGAAATCCTCTTGTAGGGCGACGGAGTAGATATAATTGATACATCAGACTCTTTTTTCCTGTAACTTATTGAAAAGTACAGAGGATGAAATGTTCAAATTGTAGATATGAGCAAGGTGTCTGTGCTAAAGCAAGTAGATGTTGAAGTAGCTGTGATCCCATGAGAAGTTTGAACAGAGAGAGAGAAGAGTGATGAGGACCCTTTGCCCCAAGGAAAGAAGACCTCTGTTCCAAGAGATGAAGATGATCTCAGAGATAAAGAGGACCTTTGCTCATGAATAGCTCATCCTTAGAATAGGACCCTGTAAGCTGACATGGTCCATGAGCACAGCTGTGGGAAGGCTGCAAGAGATGGGAGGGACTTCACAATTGCAGATTCCTGGGTGGCTGCTATTTGTGAAAATGAAAAGCCATGAGTGAACCGTTTTCTTGTAGAGAAGTCTCCATAGCATGGCAAGAGAGACTCCTCTCCCTAAGTGAACTGATGATCAGAGGTGATAAACTGACTGAATTGTTTCTTTATATTGTTAGTGGCAAAGAAAAGGTTGTAGGGGGAGGAGAAGTGCTCTAAAAGTTTTATTGTGATTCTTATTATTCTTTCTTTTAGCTACTCTTAATAAAGTTTTCTTTATACCCTTTTGAAGTTTTGAGCCTGCTTTGCCTTCCTCCTAATTCTATCTCACAGCAGGAAATTAGTAAATCATTCTAGAGGGTACATGGACATTTGGCCAGCACTGAACCCACCAAGGTTCAGCAAGGCTGCCAAAATTGGAATAGCTCAGTTGGACCTAGACTGGGAGAGATAGACTGAGCTATTTATAGCCTAATGGGCCCATAAAACATCAGGATATCTAGGAAGAGATGCAATATATAGGTGAGCTTGTGATCGAGGGATGGTCCTGACTACGTCTATGTGATAGCCTGATAACTTAGGCTATCACATAGGTTATTCACAAATGTGAAATATGTGCTGCAATCAAGCAAGCCACACACAAGTAAAATCTCCTTGGAATTGAGGGTCGTAGCTGGGTTTTCAATATGGTGAAGCTTGGCAAATTGACTACACTGGACCACTGCCACAAACATGCCAAGGCAAGAGATATGTACCCACCATGGTAGACGCCACATCTGGCTAGCTGGAAACATAAACTATAAATCATGTCACTGCTCAAAACACTATCTTAGGCCTTGAGAAACACATTTTGTGGTGACATGGTACCTCAGAGACAATAAAATCAGACAATGGGACTCATTTTCAAAATAACCTTGTAAACTCTTGAGCAAAGAACGTGGCATTGAGAGGATATATCACATCCTTTATCACCCACAAGCCTCTGGAAAGACTGAGAGTTATAATGGACTGCTGAAGACTATGTTAATGGTGTTAAGGCAACAGGGCATGGAAACATTAGGATACAAATTAGCGGAAGCCTAAGCTGGTTAGCGACAGTGGGTCTGCTGACCACCCGCTCCTGCCCAAACAAAACCCTCCCATACTGTGGGAGGAGATAAAGTCACCTCACTACACATGGAGTAGTGGCTGGGGAATTTGGTGTGGATTTCTCCTTCCATGGGAAAAGGCAAACCCATTTGTGGGATTGTCTTTGCCCAAGGACCAGGGTGTATTTGGTGGTAGTGTGGAAGAGCTGGGAGACCTGCTATGTGACTCAAGGAGATTTAACTTTGGAGGAAAAATTATCTGTGGCATAAATTATATGTTGCAAGAAGTAAAGTAGCAGAAATTATTTGAACTTATGAAGAATTAATTTTGTGAAGGGCAAGGAGGATGCAATGATGACTCAAGCCAGGCCTGTGTTGGTGCCCAATGATCAAGTATGCTTCTTCTCCTGTCTTGACTACCCATCCTGATTGAATGGAGCCCAAGTCATGCATCTGGAGAGATGGAGGAAGTCCATGAAAAAGGAAAGTAACATGAATCTGTGAAAGGATGGAGGTAGTAGTTAATGAAAGTGTATATTTGGTATAGAGATGGTTTAAGGATGTAGTTTAAGTTGTAAGTGTGGGTAAAAAGGGATTCCAGTAATGAGAAATATAATGGAAAATATATAAATTATGTGGGATCTGAGTAGGACACAAATAGTATGGAATAAGGGGTGGAGATTGTATTTGGGCTAACAGAAATAGAGTTCATTTTCCCTTAGCAGCCCTCACAGTGCTGTGCTTTGCATTGGTAGCCAGGAATGTACTGATAACACACCAGTGGTTTTACTACTGCCAAACAGCAGCATTGGCACTTGTCAGAGTCCAGGGCATTCCTTTGGCTGCTCTGGCTGTCTCAAGACCCTGGCATGGGTCTCAGGGACCCTGGCATGAAGTCAAAAACATCTGTGGCTTCAATTTTAGCCTGTGGAAAAAGCTGTCAATTTTGTATGAGGAATTACAAGCCACAAGGGTTTTAGTAGTGTGATATTTGAACTAACACAGGGTAGAAAAGTAGAATTTGGGGATTTTTAGAATGGGGTTCAAGGGGGTACAAGATGGAGAAATTTGGGCGTGTCCTGGCCTTCTTCTCCTTTGTCTTGTCCTCCATGTCTTGGTGTGATGGTGGCACTCTTCTATTGGTTTAAGGTAGAGATTCACTGTCTAACATAGGTGATGGGAATTGGCAAAGAAATTGTAAATATACACACGTAGTTTTGAGTATATAAGGTGGAAGCCACCCAAGGCTCGAGGTCAGAATGCTACAGCCTCCTTGCTAGCCAGACCTCGGCAGGTCAGAGAAAGAACGTTTAGATAAGAAAAAATAAACAACCTTGAAAACGCAATCAGAAGCATTCCAGACTCCTTCTTTGGTTGCGTCGGGCTAGGGAAGAAAAGACTCTTTACCATCTCTCAGGGTCACCCTGACCCTTAGGAACCCCAAGAGAAATCTACAGGCACTATCTCTAACATTCTCTCCCATGGCTTCTATTGAGGGAGTGGAAGTGGGCAAGATCCTGATAAGGGACACAACTAGGCCAAAATAGCTGACCCAAATAAACCAAAGGGATATTCCATACCTTATGACATCAGCTCCAATACAAAAGCCATGGGAGAGAGGAGGAATGGGGGACATTTGTTATGTTACCATTTTTGCCTTCTGGAGCAACCATTCCAGAAATGTGTTCTTCCTGGGAAGTGGCTGAATACTGCTTGCTGATGGAAGTAGATATTGTTTTCCCATTTGCTTATGCATGCAAAACTTTTTGCCTTTTTTTTTTTTTTTTTTTTTTTTTTTTTTTTTTTTTTTTTTTTTTTTTTTTTTTTTTTTTTCTCTTTGCTTTTGTAAACTGCCTTATCTCAACCTACAAGTTGTTTTGCATCTTATTTTCTCTCCACTGTCCTGCTGTAAAGGGGAGTGATGGAGCAGCCTGATGGGCACCTGGCATCTAGCTAAGGTCAACTCACTACACATGCACTGAAAATATTCACTGACTTCATTGATAAAGGTAGACCTGAGTCATACATATTTCTTGTCATGTACTTGTACTTTACTGTGGATCTTATATTAATGTTGTTACTTGAGCTGTTGATTGTTTATATTTTAAGTATTATCTCACTGATAGATTAATAGGACAAAAACAAGTACACTTCTAAGTAAGAGGTATGCCGTTAATCATATAGTGGACCTCTTGTGCAATTTAATATGCAGTTATTTATTTTAAGCTCATTGATTACATCTTGAGAGTATACATTCACATGTATTTGAGAATGGACTGCATTCTCATGAAATATGTTGGGTCAGTCACAGTGGCAAATGGCATCCAAACTAGTATGGTCTTCAGCTGTCTGTATAAGTGACTTAAAAATATGACTAAATTCAGTCTGCCAAGCTAGATAGTCTTCAACCTCTCTGCTTAGTTCCCTAAGGGTGCAGCTGGCAGTGCTACTCAATCTATTCTAGAGTTATTAAGGAAGAACACAGTGTCCAGTTCTGTCTTTTTTTGGGTAAAATATTCTACCAATACCCATCTCTCTACAAATACTGAAGGTTGTACCTGGCTGTGAAAACAATTCTTGTTTGAATCATTGAGGTAAACTATTTTAAAAGTGACATGATGCTCTTCTACCTTGCAGTAAGCATATGCCATTGAGTAACATTATTCCTCAGTTTTTACCTTCCTGCTGTGATTTAGAGTCTTTACAACCTCTTCTAACTTATTACCTAGGATGTGAAAATAAATTATTTGGAGCAAAAGGATCATCTATCCAACAATTTTATCTTTCACCAAGCCAGTGGAGACAATTACCTACACTGGTGTAACAGGCAGGCACTGCACTTCTCTGAGATCTCTGCCCTCCATCCTATTTGAGGCATCTGTCAATGCTGAGAGCCCTTAGGTGTAATTTTAATTCTACAGTAAATTTATCTTTTCCTCCTTACAGACACAAGGCATGAGCAAATACAGGCAGAGGAAATTTTTGCTATGCATTTCAGTGACTCTAGAATTGAATCCTGGCCCTCTCACCTTCTCCGTCTACCCCATCAGCTCTGCACCCAAGAATTTTCATTGTGGTCACTGCTATTCAGGAAAGGAAAGCTGGACAAATGAGGTCAAGTGTCAGGGGGAAAAAGCAATTTGAAACACTAGCTGATGTTTTACTACTCTGCATTACTACTTCTAGTGCCAAGTACTGTATGAGTACTTGCATAAAACTAGATTTGATCTGAGGTGGATTCCTCATTGACAAAAATGCTAGGAAGCCATTTGTAGTAACCTGACAGAATTTTTCAAACCCTGGGTAACTGAAATGTCTGCCATTCATGTCCAATATGCTTGTTTGGAATTATGAGATGCAAATAAGCAGATAAGCACTTGATGGTAGTTTAAATTCAAGTTAAATTCAAGAAAATTATTTATAAAGGTGAAAGATCTTTTTTAATGTGCTGCCACTTTGAATGACCCGTGATTATTTACACTGTATTATTGAAATATTACTGTAATCTAACTGTGGATTGTATCTCCATCCTTTTCTTCATCTTCCATAATCATTGTTTGTTCTTCTGTAAACAGCTTAGTGCCTTAAAAGGAGAAGAACACAAAAACAAACAAACAACAAACAAAAAAAAAAGTGAAAAGGTGAGTTTATTTAATATACTGCTTTCTAGAAAATATCAGGCAAAAGAGAATTTTTCAGTTCTCTCCTATTTCTTGATTTTAATGTCATTTTCCAACCTCATATGAGTTACTCCTCATTTCTTCTTGGCATTTCAGTCTCTTAATACTTACTGAGCTAGAGTTCAATCACTGCATTTTTAGCTAAAATTATTAAGCATTGTTAAATCCAGTATATTTTTGCTGCCTGTAAAAGGAGACTGAAGTTTCATTTGGGAACCTGTTTGTTAGAAAGGTTTGGGTAGCTAAATAAGACAAAGAACTTGCATGATGAAGCAAGCACTGTAATTAATCTTTGTAACAGAAACAGTTTTTATGGACATGTATGTTTTCTCCATGTATATAGTCATATTACTTAGATTTTTCAAGTGCAGGTGGCACAAGAGACATGTTAAAATATCCACATGACAAGTGCCATCTCCATTGGAATGATATAGTATCAATAAATTGCAAAAGCTACTGAACTAAGAACAGTGTGAGAATAGACTTGGATTGTAGACTATACCTCCCACAAATCTGTCACTTCTCCTTTCTCTGTGTCTCTCTTTCTCTTTTTCTCTGTTAAACCAGTAAGTCTGTCCTTTGAGGATCTGGAGGCTTTTGTATAATACCAAGGTATAACAAATATTGTAATTGCTTTCATCATTAAAAAATAAGTAAGAGTGATGTGAGAACAATGCATTAGGTACAAAATATTTACCTATACTGCCCTTCATTTCAGTTAGCTTCTGCTTCATTTATATGCAGTTCTTGTGAACTAGCTGGTTTTAGAAGCACCATGAGATAAACTGAAAGGCATAAATTAATAACATTAATTTATGCCTTTCAGTTAATTTGAAACACAAAGGACTTCATTTGTTCAAGCAGTAATTAAGTAACTCTTGTTGTTAACTGCAAAGAATTATGCCATTTTATGGAGATGGATGTAAATACTACCAACACAGACTTCGATCCCTATAGGCAACCTAGGCAAATATAGACAAGTTTTTTGTTTTCCTGATGTCTTTGGGGTTTGGGTTGTGTGTGTTCCAAAGGGGAGTGGGGTTATTTTTTGTTGGTTTTTATATCCTGGGCCATTTGAGGGACAGGGAAAACATAACTAGTATGTGCTTCAAATGTACTTTTAAATGTGTGATGAAATTCAATCTATGTACATTTGCTATTGAGAGAATGACAGAAATTAATGCAATTTTCAGTTGTTGTCAGTTATACCTCCAATGACACTTTGTTGCCTACTGTTGAAGCCACCTTTGAACACTTGGCATGGAATCAAAACAGCCTGCTAAGATGCTGTCTCTCTGTATAAAGCTTTTCAGAACCTGTATTCTGAATCTGTTTTCCAGTGATTAATTGCCTGTGGAAGACTTGTGCCTGTATAAGGCAAAATAACCTATGTATTTACATGCCTGAATTCCATTCCCTTCCTATTCTAAGGATGTATATTTAATTGTCAAGATACACCCAATGTACATCACTCTGCCGGTTGAAATTCACCAGTGATGGCTCCATGATTTGCTATGAAAAGCCTTTGGTTGAAGACTGGCCCAATATTTGCTACTTATTTAATTTCAGATTTATTCCATCTGGTGGCACACACAAAGAAGCTAAGCTTTTGTGGAACTGCTGTGCAAAACAGAACCCAAATTACAGACTTGGAGACCTGGGAAGACGCAGCATAACTATGTGAGCTAAGTAAATTATAGACAAACCTCTCTGTCCTGTCTCCTTGTTATTAGTCTTGCTGAAGTAAGCAGCACTCATTGCTACATGGTATTGATGCCCTGGAGTGGCTACCTAGAACAGAGGCTAGACTGAGTTAAGAGAATAAAGTGGGTATTTATTAAAGGCCTTCAATAGCTACACCTTGAGCAGTGTAAAAGCCTCACAGAGGCTACACCCAAGATGGACAGCAGTCACAGGTTTTTCAGGCAAGTATAAGTTTTGTCTGTTTGCATATCAGGGGTTAATTATCCAATTACAGCTTCAGGTAATCGAGCCATATTTCCTCAACTCGCTCCTCCCCAGTTCACTTTTGTTTATACTTTTCAGGGCCTGAGGCTGTGGTGTGTCCTTGGATTACATGCCCAGAGGGTTTATTTTGTCTAACTAAAATGTTAACAGTTAACTACACTTCCTATGGAGTTCAGAGCTATGCACTAATGCAGTGTAGGATTTGAAAAATATAAAAGCTAAAATCTTAAGGCATCAGTATCTTTTTGTGACCTGCTAATGAAGATTGCCACCATTTCCAATATTTCCCCTTCAGATCCCCTGCAAACCACTTCTATATACCAATTCAAGAAACTCCACTTAATTCTAGTAAAAGATCTTATTTAATACGAGTATTCTCTTGAACAGTTGTCCACACAAATACTTCATTGTAAATGCAGCTAAAATGGCAGATGTGTTATCCCTCTTTGTTTTGGCCAGCACTCCTAGGACAGTCCCTCTCCCTTTTGGGTGATCTGAGTGATTTTCTGTCACAAATAAAAGCAAGTTAAATGTACCACGTAAAATGAAGAAAATCATTGTAACTACTGGATGGCATGTGGTCCAAGTGAGAAGCAGAATCAGTTTTACACCTTGGGAGCACCCAATCCAATTGGGAAATGCAGTTCAAGAAAGGGGGCTACTAAGTTAGTTATCTGAAATCTCCTCTACAAGGGTCAGGCTTCTAAATGTATTCAGCCTTCAAACTTCTACTGAAGTGGCACAGTTAATGTTATGTCATATCCATACAAATGCATCATGAGCAGATGTCTCCTTAAGTAGCAAGCTCTCTTTCAGTCAGCCAACACCTTGTCTTTCTGAAGGGATTAGACCAGAAAGCAAAATATAATCAGATTTCTAACGGTCATTTTTTCCATATCACATGATGGTAAATGGCTTGAATCTGATCCAAGCCTGTAGTCAGCTCTGGAACACTCTGTTGCCATTCCCACTTAGCATTATATAGTCCATTAACTAGATTAATGGTCTTCAGGCCTATGGGTTTGAGCTAGAATGTAAATACATGTATAAATATGGGAACACTGTTCCTGAAATGTGACTGATGTTTCCTAATCAAATGAGAGATAACTTGCAAAATCAGTTTCAAATCCTCATTCTCTCTCATAGTCTAGAAAACCACTTAAGGCAGCTCCTTTAGAAAAATACCACACCCCTATTGAAAACCTTTTGGTGAGAAGAATGGAAGTTTAACCATTCACCTCTTCTCTCTCCCAACTTAGCTGCACGAGTTGTCCCTAGGCAGTCTGTAAGCATGTGCTGTCTTGTTGTTTTTCTGATTTGTAACCCAAGAGGTATGGCTTAGATCTAGGTGGCACCTGACAAATCAATGATTTAAGACAACGTTTTCTGCCTATTTTTTAGCTTTGTAACAGAAACATGCATGTTTCTGTGAGCCAAGTACTTGCAAGTTCTGTTGGAAATTATGGTTACATTGTATATTTACCCTCTGTTTTCTTTAGCCAGATCCCTCGGCAGATATTAACAGAACAACCTAACAATCCTTAAAATTGATCTGCAGGATGAGTTACATTTCATAATACACACAGCTAGGAAAACAGAGGTAGGGAAGCTTAGTGACTTTTTAAAACGGCAAACAGAGAAAGACTAATTTACAAATGTTTCCCAAATCAAACATGCTTCTCTTCTCACTCCTTGAAACCCAGAACTTCCAAACTGCACATTTTCCTCACAAGTGATCAGAGGCATCATATCAAAGAAAAACATATTTTCCCAGTGTTATACAAATCACTGCCATTTTGACTTCACATTTGTATTCCCTTTCCATTGTTCTGCATTAAAATGCTGATTTGTCCTTGAAATTGCTGGTGGTCCATGGAAAGTTTATAACATGCATCTCTGGGCTGCATCCCTCTGAGCTTTGAGTCCTGAACACTACTGGGAACCTCTGGAGTTCATCAGTTAGCAAAGTGATTCATTGGTAATGATCTTGCTATTGATTGTGGTAAGCATCTGACACATTACCAATATGGGTCCATCTGAGGGCCGGGGACCTCTGTTTGGATCTGACATTTCAGTTGTCTGTAGTATCTGCTCTAAAAAGGCTGGGTTTTGTGCTGTAACTAGGTAATCAGAATTACATAAATATACTTTTCCTTCATCACTGTTTAATTTAAATAAGAGAGGGAATATGTTCATAAAGCACACTGCAGCTAAATAGCATGCATTCCTGAACTCTTACTCCTGATTTTACCCAAAAAGCAGGTTAGCTCTATTTGAATGATCGACAGTAAGGTTCCCTTCCCTTCCCTTCCCTTCCCTTCCCTTCCCTTCCCTTCCCTTCCCTTCCCTTCCCTTCCCTTCCCTTCCCTTCCCTTCCCTTGGCATGTTACGCAGTGTCTATTGCATGTCATGCCAGAAGCACAGAATTATCTTTAAGGGGCTGCTAATGAGAAGTTCATCACCACTTGGCTTCCTCAGTGCATATCAGGAACCACTGAATGAAGAGGGGATTGATCAGTACAGCTTTGCGCCAGGTTGTTGGAGGCATTTTAGTGCTGGTGACCTAAAAATTTCTATGTGCTTAGTTTTGAAAAGCAGGGAAGTAGTTGGCTTTTCAGAAAAGTAGGATTGCAGTTTGCAAGAGATAATCAAGTGGCCTTTTCTTTCTCCCCATTCTTTTTCCTTGGAGCTTGAACATGGGATTAGACTTTTAATGAACTCCCACTATGACCAAATAGGTCCAGTTCAAGAACTGCTAAGTATATTGAGAAGAGAGCAACCTCCTTTCAGCCTTCTAAGTATATCTCTGACACTAGTGACATTTTGCTCCCTCTTAGGAGAATCGTTACCAAAGTTTCTTACCTATTATCAAAGGTGGGATGTGTATTGCAGGTGTATCTTTTCTTCTGGGCTTTTTCTGCTCCAGTTCAGTGATATGAGAGACTGGAGTCACTCTCTCTCTCTGTGACTTCTCTGCGATACCATACCTTTTCAGCAGATTTTCAGACGAGTCTGACACTATGCCTGTAAGCAAGAAATAAACAAAATGCTACTTTAGCCTGTTTACATAAAAGAAACTTCCACCTGCGTAGCTCTCCCAAAGACTACTCTGAAGTACACTGCACGATCTGCTGCATGATGTGCCTACCCTACATCTCTTTCAAATTAATTATTTCCCACAGACTCTAGAAAATTATGCTATCAGGCCAGCTCACTTCTGATTGTACATAACGCATTAAAAATCATGAGACAGATGAGTGTAATCTCCTATTCCAGAACTTTAGACATCTACACAGTAACCTAATCACACAGACACTCAGGAGGTTAGTTAGGAGCAATGCGACCACATAGAAATGGCTGTTTTAGCTAGTGAAATAATGTTTTCTTTATGATATGACAATTGCAGGAAGAAAACACAGCTCTCCAGCCTCTGAGCTGTTCTTCCTAAGAGAGAATTGCTGATGGAAGGTAGATGTGAAAACTGAACAGAATCAAATTCAATATCAATATCTCAGGTACTTGTTTTTGACTTGGTGAATTGTTGCAGATATACAGAGGAGCATACAAGTAGTTACTGGCTAATTCCTCCATGTATGTGCATCATGGGAAGAACTAAATAATATAAGAGCACAGCTCTCTTGCTGGAATTTATAACACAGAGTTCTTGTTAGCTGACAGTGACAAACTTTATTCCCACTGCTGTTCTTGGATCATTTGGTCTCAGTAGCAGTCTCCTGCTTATTCTTCCCTTCTCCAGGTTGGTGGCTTTTGGGTCTCAAACATCTGTATTTGTGCTACAGTAAGGAGCATTCCACAAGAAGCCCTTTCATTGCTGTGATGTTTTCCTGAAACACGTACCCTTTTCCAGAGTCCCTATAAACACATGATCCCTGTGATTTCCAGGAGGACAATCCCGCAGGTGGCTTGTGTGCTTGACTGGTCTAATCCCAGCCCCAGCCTCCCGCGGTGCACTGGATACAACTTTCAAAAGAAAGTGCAGGGGCTAGACTTGATCCTTTTAAATTTTAGACCATATCCAACTGTGACATCTAGTATGGCTCAGCAGCTGCCAATAAATACACATCATTTCACACATAAATGTAACATTATTTATCAGCAAGACTACGAGATCCACAGAAGCATGTTTTTCAGAGCATAAACCTATCCACTTTGGTATTCTCAGAAGTGAGACCAAACCCATCAACTAACATAGAATGTCTTTGAGAAAGTCAGACTTTCTGTTCACCTGCCTTCCCAGGTGAACATGCAGAAAGCTGTGTTCCTGTCTGCATTTGAGGGGACATAACTGATTGAACACGGACTTTCACCCTGCTCCAATCCCCAGAGATTAACTGGGATTTCAAAGTCGAGAGATTTACTGCTCACCTGTTAGAGATGGTGGAGCGTGCAAAGCCGGTGTATCTTTCCTCTTTGGCTTCTTTTGCTCCTGTTCAGTCTTCTGGGAGGCTGTGAGAGTTTTACCTTTTCTTGATTTATTTTTGAGGTCACAGCTCTTAATCAGCTGCTCTGAAAGATCTTCTGCAGAGAAAAAATACAATAGAAATTATAATTTAGGGGAGGTAAAAAAACAGATGGTGAAAAGAATCACTTTGATAATAGTGCTTTAATCCAAGAGTCCAGGAAGAAAAATCTCTTAAACATTTAGAAAGGCAACAAAAGAGGGCTCTGTGCCATAGTGCATGAGAGTCATGTGACTTAGGTAGTCCTGCTTTGTTGTTGGCAGTAGACATAAAACAGAGAGAGAGAGTTGTGGGCAGCTTGTGTTTTTACATGTCAGAGGGAAGGCTGCATCATGTGCAGAGGTTCTATAACCACCCCTGATTCATCCAGTGGTAACTGTGGATTGTATCTTCAAGGGTTACAAGGCCAGTTTTGTGAAGGAAAGTTTTACATATATAGGGTCAGTCTGAGCTATTTGTAAAATGAGCCAGACAGTATATTGTTACCATCAAGAGTTAACTTGATTTCTAGAGCTAATAAGCAATTGGTATTTGCTTTTTATTTTACATAACAGAACACTGGATTTTTGGTTTTCCTTTAAAACAATCCTTTACTCAGATCACTCAGAGAGTCAGCAGGACTTTTTCTGCAAGGGTCTGTATTTCTGGGTGCTTATGCAAGCTGAAAATACTGAAGATCACTTTTGGTAGTACATCCCTCTCCCTCAACTCCTCTTTAGGCCTGATCTACAACCTCAGCAGTTCCTGATAATCCTTAGTTGAATCAGGAGAGTGATAAAGTGCCCCTTAACTGTGCCAGTTGGGCAGTGAAGCATCCATGAACATACAGGGTGCTCTTGTATGGTAAAGCTAGGAGCTATTATGACCATACCAGAAACATCAGCAATCTGACCAAGGTAAGGAACAAAGGATAAGCAGTCATTCTTATTAGCCTTGGTAAGTCATTTACCCAACTGAAATGGTACCATTGTTAGGAGACATGGTACCATTGTTATGAGACATTTTCATTTTTGAAAAAATGAATTGTAGCCTGAGTGTAATAGTATTATTTTTACTAGACTTTTGGGGAAAAAAGTGATGAATTGTGATGCTACAAACAGCAATGTAGCAGCAAGGAGAGCTGTTTGAGCTCTCCTTGAAAACAGTGGGCCTCTGAGTAGGATGCCTCTTGGAGCTTGCAAACCCTCAAGTCTGCAATACTTGAAAGACTGTTGCTGACAACAAGGTCTAGGCAGATACCATCCCCACACATACATAGTCCTTGAGGTGCAGCCCATGCTGGTTGAGAAATGCTAGGGGATTTGATATGAGTACTGCACTATGCCTGACAGGAATTTTTGATAGGTATCTTTACACTAGTTGATATAGATGTATACATCTTTTCTGATGTGCTCATGCAAGTGAATGGATTGTGGTATGAATGCTGTTATTTTGAGTATATAATTAACTCACTGTTATACTGTAGCAAATCCTATTGAATTATTTTTTAAAATATTAAATTAGTCAATGATTAAGTGCTTTTGCATCCTTTTCTTATATCCATATTCTCTGCACCCTTCTCCTCTTGCATCTCCAGTCTTCATGTAAATAATTCCAAGTTGCTTCTAATCCAATTTATTTATGTATGCATTGTCTACATAGTAAGTAATAGAACAAGCCTTGTGACTTAAGTCTGTTAAAGCTGCATTCTTATGAATTCATATTAAACCCTGCTTTTTGCCAATAACCTTGACAATGATTCTTTAAGCATTTTAAACACTCATTTGTGAACCTCTCATTAGTATCATCACAGAAACCGATATTTTGAATTCTTAAAAGCTGCTTGTTTGCCTTCAGCTGGGCTCCCCACATCGTTACCCAACCCCTGACTGCAGACTTGGATGCAATCACAACTTCATTCCAGGCTCTTTCACACTATTTAAGGCAGCTGTTATGTCTGTGAACCTGCAAGCAGATGTGGGAAGGATGGCCTCTGGGTTAAGTCCCTGGAGATGTGGAATTTTTTTCTGGCCTTCTTAACTTTCTTCATAGTCCTAATGAGCTCATTTACCACCCCACTGCCTCAGTTTTCCAACAGTATAATGAAACTCATTCTATATGTATTTAAATCAGCAATTTTATGGACCAACTATGGTATACCAGCAGTTGTAAAAACAGTGTCTGTGGCCAGAAATGCCATGTAGCAGAGACAGAACTTCCTTATAGTACTAATAAACAAAATTTATAAAACCTGTGGTGAAACACTTTTTTTTACAAGGAAGTGAAATTGCATTTGTCTTTCATTATTGTTGTCACAAAGGTAACAACAAGGAAACCAATTTTTCTTTCTGGGTTGCTAAATCTTCAGGACAATTTTGTAAGAGTGAAGTCATAGCACTAGAAGCAGAGGCAAAGACCATGAATATGCAAAAAGCTTATCTATCAAACATGAAATCTGGTATTCAGGAGTATGACAGAACAAAGACAACCCTGGTATGCTCATTGTAAAAGCTATGTGAAGTAGCTTTGATTGTAAAAGGGTTTTAAAATCATGGGGATTTGGGGAGTTAGTAGGAAAGTTAGGCTTAGTAGGCCCTGGGAAAATACCCTGGGAATGTATTGGTCTTGTACTTGCTAGAACTGTACCTGTGTAGCTAGTATATGATAAATTATATAATTGTAAGATGCAGTAATTGTTTAGTAATTAAATATAATTATTGTTTAATTGTAAGGATAATCAAGCTGTGGTCAGGGGCTTGAGAAAGATCACAAGAAACTCTTGCTTGAATAAGGTCAATGTATACAATAGAACAATATAAGTTTAATAATTAATATGTAAGTTATATAATGATAGAATATAAAATACATTCAGCCCAAAACCATGTCGGAGTCAGATTTGGGTCTGTACCCATGATTCCCAGAGCTCTTCAATAAAAGCACCTGCATATAATCATATTCAGTGATTATGTGTGCACCTGAATGCTAAGAGCTTCAGGAAAGGAAAGTGATGATGAAGAAGAAAACTGTGGGAAATAGTAAAGGTAAGAAGATTTCCAGAAAGCAGTAAAAGCAAGCCTTAGAGCAGAAAAACTTAGAACTAGCTACAGCTGCAAAGTCTGAAGGTAGGAAAAGCTACAATAGTATAGTAAGCAAGGACATGAAACAATAGCTGGAGTTTTAGACCTTAAGATTGCAGGAAAATATACTTGGCAAGATAGTAGAAGGTTTTAAGCTTAATAATGAAGTACTGTGTGTTGTTAATAGAAAAGCAGACAAGCAAGCATTGCGTGAAGGAGGTGTATGTGTAGTTTTAGTAATTGGCTAAAACAATTGTCCGTAAGCTTTAGCAATACACTGTTGCCTAGGAAGCATTTTAAATGCTTTATAACAAAGAGGTCTTTGGCTGTTGCTGGCAGTACATGAGCTGTTGCCATATTTCTATTGTCTCAACCATGTAATGAGGCTGATGCTGTAATAAAAGCTCAAGGAACGTCTCCCAGCAGTCCTGTTCCATTCATGAAAAGAAAAAAAAATCCCAACACAGGAAACATTTTTAGAAGCTGTCTCAGTGATGGCAAATGGAATGCTTGAAATCTTTTACTCAAATTGCATATGGAAGATATATTCAGGGAAAGCTCATCTATATCCTAGCTTACAATTTATAAGTATAAATGAAGTATAAATGAAGAAACTGCTCTACCAAGGAAAAAAAAATGACTCTTTTTCCTTTCTACTCTTTAATTAACCTCACTCTAGAGCTTAAGATGATATTTATATGAAGGAAGAATGCTCTTTGTCTTTCCATCTGGCACTAGACGTGTCAGCAGAAGGTGTAATCTATCAGTTTTCAGTTGTATCGCTGGAGGGGAAAAAATAGGCACTGGACGGGACTTTATTATATGAAGACAACTCCAATCATTAGAGCAATGACATCATCAAACACTTACCTAAATGGTTACACTGTGAATCTTGCTTGTCCAGTCTGTCATCTGGAATATCAAGTGGCTGAACACATTCTGTTGACATCATTGAAGCAGGCTTTTCTCCTCCTATGAAGATACTATACCATATTAAGAAAAAAAATTTAAAAGAAATTCAGCAGCATGACATAAAACAGGCATATTGGTGTTACCTAACAACTGATGAGGAGTTCTTGGCTTCCAGCAGGCTGCTGACCTGATGGTTTACTCACACATGCTGCAATGCATTCATTCACTGCCTTGGTTACACACACAGTAACCTGGTTTTCCACCTACCTTGCTTAAGCAACCCACACTAGCATAGATTGTCTCTACAGAAAAGCTTTTTTTTTGAGCATACAGAAAGTACTATCTCATACACAGAGTAAATGCTAAGGAATAGGATGTTTTGTTTTGGTTTTTTCTTCTCCATTTTTTCTCAACAGTAAACTAAGGATTATATTTGATATTTATTATATGAACCAACTTTGATCATGAATTCCATTGACTTAGTCCTTTAAGTCCAGCTCCACTAAGAGACCTTACATACCCCAGAAAATCCAGGTGCAAAGTGTTGCCTCAGAAAGATTGCCAATACCTACAGATCCCAAAGCCATCATGAAGTGAACTTACTCATCACTTTGGTAAGACCATCAGAACACATTTCACACAGCTATTTAAGTGTCCATGCTCAGTAAGTCTCACTGGATTGCTGTTTGGGCTATTTTGTCCCCCTTTACTTATAGCTGCAGTGGGTGTAGAAGTCCATCCTCACCCATCCTCCTACCTGAGCTTCCCCAGCACCTTGCAAGCTGAGACTTGATCCCAGGGCTGCCACAGATGCCACTACAGAAAGAAGAAACTTAGACCATTTTTCACTGCTGATCATTTATATCGTTGCTTAGCAGAAACTCATCAGAATGACAAAAGCAATGTTAAAGGGAAACAACCTTCAACCTGAGGGTGCAGTCCAAGTGATCTTGGTATCTTCTTTGATCCAGCAACAGCTGTGGCAGTCTTTTATTCACAGCCTCTGTTCTCCATTTTCAGGACATAAGAGCATACTATGACTTCCTTGTAAGGAGATGAAAGGGGATGAGGAAAAGAAAAAACTGGAGACATTATGAATAGAAGGTGAAAGAAGTAATTGAAAATAAAAAAAAAAAAGGAAGGGGAGGTAGAGAGGGAAAGGCAAATAAAAGAGAAAAGTAAGAAAAGAGGCAGCTGCAGAATAACAGTGGAAAGGAGGATGGGAAAACAGGAGACTAAACTGTGGGAATTTGGTTTTATCTTGCTGGAGGAAAAGAAATTACTTTATTATTTCTCTGTAAATTACAATGGTTGTTTGATGTCAAGAAACAGAACAGTAGGGGAGTCAATCTCATTTCCATGACTAAACTTGCATCTATGTAAAGAACAATTAACCCTTGAACAAAATCCATTCACAGAAATATTTGCGAAAGAAGGTAGGAAAGGTTGCACTGATGTAGTTCTTTAGTGGATGGAAACACATGTCTTAATGCCAGTGACTTATAAATAAATGGAGTAACACTGCTGTTATGATTGTATGTGGTGGTTTAGACAAGCCCTTGCCTTTTGCCCAGGCCTCTGGCAGCAGGCAGTAGCTTTATTGAGGCAGCCAGAACCCCAAAGTTCACTCTCCTTCACAAGTTTTTTAATATAGGCTGATTTGTTCTATTATAGAATTAATTATTTATTTAATAGACATAAAACTAAGAGACATAAGATTTTAAACAAATTAATACTATGCAGAAATAAAGACAAAAATAAAAAAGACTACTAGCAGACATACAGAGTGAGGTTAAAGGTACCTATTAATGTTACAGCTAGCAAAGAAATAATATAACTTAGGATTCAATGTATCTTACAGTCCAGTTGATGGTGGGGCACATATCAAGATCCTTTCCCTTAATCCCCAGGGAAGTAAACATGGATTTACATCCAAAGTCCAGGGAGAAATCTTCCACACTTTCAGGGTGTATGTGTAGAAGGCTTCTACCTCTGTGATAACTCATACATTTTTTATAGTTTGTAAAACAGTGTCTCTCAGTCTAGAATATTTCCTTTATCTCTTCCCACATCTGCTCTCCAGACTAAGATGCTGATTCTTAGCTGAGGTCTGACCACTTTTGGACCAGGGATGAGTTCTTGCTGGGCCTTTCAGCCCCTAGGTTATCTCTTTATGGACCAACTGTCAGTGGTAGAGAGGAGGGTGGGATAGCTATCCTTTCACAACTGCTTGGCAGCATCAAATTTGACTCAACTCATGTCAACATCAAAAGTTGATGTTGACTGATATTGTACATAGGGGATTAAATTCCCTTATGTTTCACTACTTAAAATTTACAAAAAAATGTAATATTCTACAAATTATTAAGATCTTACTGAATCAGGTCTTGATGAGGAATCTCACCTCCAAATGTTTACTATAGAAATGTCCCAGTCCAGCCTCACATCTGCACTAAAGTGTTATACTGCCTGAAGGCTCATTTGCCTTCACTACAAGAAAAACCCTTCACTTAGGAAGACTACAGAAAGCAATCTTTGAAGGCACCTTAACATGGTTGCTCTTTTTATTTGCTATATAAGTAAGCTATAGCTGTGGTTTAAAATAAAGCAGACGTAATTTTGTTTAATACAAAATTTATTATCTGTCCATATGAAGGCTTGCACTGCATTTTGTGACTTAAGAGAGTTTAATTCTTTCAATGCCATTTGATTTTATTGGATTTGATTAGGACATGCTGGCTAAATATTATGACTGTAGATAAAATGTTCATTTCTGAAGAATACTCTGTTTACAAGGTTTTCAGTGAAATCAGGGATATTATTTCAGATACTCTGGACATTTTTGGTTTTAACATGTATTGAGGCAAAAAAAGGCTGGGTATAGATAGAAAAATTTAAATGTAAAATTGGTAGTAAATTATATTTGCTGGAAATAATTTATAAAATATAGTTAAAATTGGTTAGAGTCCAATAAGTTGTTTCATTGAATTATTTCACCCAATAAAAATTAAGCTTTGTAAAGAGGATTGCTTCATTATTTTTTCTTATTGTGGTACTTTGGAAAATAATATTCTAAAATACATCTCTTAGGTCTGTGTTCATATTTTCATTGTCACACATGCTAAGCCATTGGCATCTTCAGTGCTTTAAAATTCTGGTTTACGGGCTAACTTCTGACACTCTCCTTCCATTTCTTTTCCAAGTGTGCCCTGAAGTCAGCATTGCCTTGCTTACTAAAACACTGCACTTCGTGACAGTCTGTGTGACAAAAGAATAAAAAGATAAAATTTACCAAAATATATAATGGATTTTGGTATCTTGGGTTTATGTACATTGTGTATGATGTGTGAACCTTTGAGTGCTGTTACGTCCTGTCACCATAGATTACACACAGAGCTCGCCTTCAAAGGAAAGTTGCTGTATGTGACCATTGTAATGGTGGTTTTCCCAAACCACTGAAATCAGTTCCTGCCACTAAGGTAACAGATTCCCTAGCTACATTCCCCTGGAAGGTAGCCTGCTATGGGGACTGTATGAAGCATTAATATGGCTTTAAAAATTGAAGCATGTTCTCAGATTCTCAGACATTAAGAGCAACACTTTTCCTAGCAGCCTTCACATTAGCACAGTTTGCACTCTCTGCTTGCATCAGTCACCTTGGTAGCAAATGCTTGCTATTCATGTCATTAAGTTGTTTCTTCTTGCACTCTGTTATGTCTCTTGATGTAATGATCCACATTCATCCTTTATGCATTTCTAATTCTTACATTGGAGGCCTAGTCCACACACAATAGAAAATACTTCCTGAGATGCTACAGATTTTCCTATATGATTTAGGATTCAATTGTCATTTAGCCAGAGACTTTTGTACAGTGCATTTAGGCTGTACCACCTTCTTCAGAGATATGTGCCTAAATGGGTCACCTGAAGTCTCTTGTTTCTTGGAAAAGAGAGAGCTGATAAAGACAGCTGAAATGCTTTCTTAAGGTTGAGGCAAGTTCTAGTTTTGCCTACATAGTTTTGCATTGCTCCTTATTAAAACTTTTGGCATGAAATTGGATTGGCTCTACTTACAGACAAAGGAGGGCAACAAACAGTAAGGCAGACTGAAAATTGCAAGTATTACTAAAAGCTGCTTCAGCCTCATGTGAATGAAATCTCATGCTGAATCACTGTCATATAACAGCATGACTCCTTTGGGCATACACCCTTGTAAGATATGGTGATTCAGATGAAAACTATCTGAACTTTTCACTTTCTGGATATCAGCTTTGGATTTTTAGATAGGTTAAAGCACATATTAAATTTTTTTTCAAAATTCTCAGTTGTTGTACCCACTTGAATAAAGTGCCCAAATAAAGCTAAAGCTATGACTCACTAGCATACTTCTAAAACACACAAATACTTGCAAGTATATGATTACTTTCTTTGCTTAAATTTTTGGTTTCCGTAACAAAATTCACTAATGAAACCAGTCCCAGGCTTCAGTTAGGTAAAAATACTTTGCTAGAGACAGATAAAGAAGCCTGTTTTAGTTTACTCTTCTAGTGCACAATTAGTTTAATGTAGACGTGTGTGACGTTATGCAAATCTTTCAAGGCAATCCGATAATGTGACATTTAAACTGACTTAAAATGAAATCTCATGAGAAAAAACTTACTGTGTAAGATAGAAAATAAAAACTTTGAGAACAAAACTAAAGGGCTGGACTTATTTTTCATTTGATCTTGAATTAGGCATGGAAATGGCTTGGGGGAAAGAAAAACTCCATTTCTCTTAGGGTTTGAAGGGTTGTAGGGGCTATGCAACTACATGAATATTAGCTACTACAGATAGTTGTATGTAATCTGAAGGGACAATACAGTTCTCAAATGAATCAGCCATAGGTGATCATTCTTACCTACAAGATGGAGAAATGAAGTTTTGATGTGCAATTCTTATAAAAGTTTGCAGGGGTTATTTGTGGGCATCAGTGTCAATACTCCTCATCATTGTACATTAAGGCTTGTGATTTCTTTGTATATTGAATACTTAGAATTTCTGAACTGGCCCTTTATAAAGTATCCACAACCTGTGCCTCTGAAGATTTTATTAGACCATGTGGTGTATGAGGTTTTGTACTTTTTTTTCTTGTTCAGGAGAGTGTTTTGTTTCTACAATTGACAAAATCCTGAAGAAAAATGTGCTTATTCCCAGTGCATGCATAATTATTAAACAAATCACTGGCATGTTGACAAGGATGCTAGATAAAGTACTTTTGAAAGCATCCTTATTGGGTGACAGCAGTCAATCTGAATTTAATAACTTCATTTTGATAGCTGGTAATTATGTTGCCACAGAAGCCTGTTTGGCCCTGTGTACTTATCTTCTGAAGCCAGAGCAACTCCCAAGAAGAATAGAGGGAAGAAGAGGCAGAAACAGAGGCAACTAAGGTCCTAGGGTGGTACAGTGTGCACACTTCTTTATCCTCATTCTCATAGGTAGAGCCTGACCTTGCTGCTGGTGGTGTACTCAATAGCTGGGAATGGAAGTAAATAGGGAGTATGTCACAGGCTGCTGCCAAATGCAGACATGAAGCAGAGGCTGGACTTCATTAGTTACAGTCCAGTCTGGACAAAAAGTAGCATTTTGCTGCCCTGCCCAAAGAGCTGCTTTGGCATGGAGGTTTACTCTTTAAGACTGGTGCCTCTTCTCCCCACTAAGCATGCACTTACAGTTTCCTGGGGGTTTGATTATTAAATTATTTTATATTTGTTTTCCCCTTTCTGTCTGGTTACAATGAGCACATAAGCAAGGAGGGACAGAAGGCTCCCAGTGTCCTCACCTGCTCCTTTAGCCCTGCGAATATGTGGGAGGCAAAGGGCAAGATCTGTCCTTCCTTCTGTAGCATGCTCCCTGTGGAGGGCTCTATAGTGTGAATAGGCCCCTTATTTGCTTGAAGTAATTTACAAATGCAGAAAGAAGGAATAAGATTGGATGAAGCCATCTTGCACAAATCTGGCCTATGCAGAAATCATGTGAAACAGGTCAGGAGTCAAGGGGAATGGTACAACATCTGGCTGAATTTGGCTTCTTCCATCTGCACTCAGCAAGCAGCCTTAGTACCTTTATCAGAAAATAGGCACCTTCACCCATACCCCATCCTATCTCAGCCCCATTACAACTGCTTCCTGGAAAATCATCTGAATAAAGCAAGATTACAAGTCAGAGTAGAAAATAGATGTCCTACAAGAAGAAATTCTCAGTGTTGCTGCTCTGCACTCCAAACATTTAATTACAAATTTTACTATATATTTAACATTATTCTATTGGAGTGAAACATTCTGGGATACAGGAGACAGCTTCATGTTAATGGACAAACTTTCTTCTTCAGTTACTTAGGCACTAGGCTGCTCTCCACAGGTATACTGTCAGATTACTCTGATGTTCACTTTTATAAAGCATATTTAAATCTTCTTAGCAAACACTTAGATATTTGAAAGCCTGATATGACTGCCTCCCTCTACACAAAACTATTGCTACTAATAATAGCATGGATGCAGAAGTACCACGGAATTGTCTTGGAGCAGTTTCTTCTCATAGTTAGTGTGCTTCTGGATGCTATTTCAAAAAATTGTGGCTGGTGGTAGACAAATTCCCACTACTAGCTTGTAAAATAAACTTGTAAAATAAAAACATTTATTTGGTTGATTTAAAAAAAAATGCAATATACATTTGCACAAGTTCTGGTTACAAAGTCTTTGGAGATCATCTTCCCTAACTTTTTCCTTGAGGTACAAATTAACCCCTTGCACATGGCAGACTTAGTAGTGAGATAAGAAGTCCTTATACCAGCTCCCACTTTGCTGACTTACAAATTTGGTATTGAACTGTCCTAGCAGTTAGTGCTTTATTTTGCTCTAAAATGCTCTCATCCCCATTTCCCTATCCACAAATCCCATACTCAGTTAGGTCATACCTCAACTTTCCCCACACAGGACCATCCCCAGCCCATTCCATATGCAGTGGGGAATTTCTGGTGTTTTCCTGCTCATCCCCAGAGGTGATAAGGCAACTTGCTGGTGGTGGCTGCTAAAAAAACCCAAAACAAATAAACAAATCCACACACACCCTCAAAAAAAGGAAATCAAGAAGCCAGCCATTCAGGAGGAAAACACATTGCAGAAGTACTTACTGAGTGGTTGAAGGGAAGGTGCTGTTTGTTGTCAGGGCTTACTGGAGGATCTTTCTGTACTGGGGCTGCAGCTGATGCTCTTGCCCGTCTTATCTAGAATAAGTGGAAGCTGTCGCTGTGGCAAGGCCACACTCAGGCATCCTCCTGGAGGTTAAGGAACAGCACCACCACTCTCTGCCCCACCAGCAGCTTCTAATCCTGTTTCCTTTCTCTTCCAGAAGTTGCAGGGGCCAAAGGAGAGGCAACAAGATGCGTGGGAGACCAGCAGTGCCTCAAGGCTGAGGCATCATTCCTGCCAGATGACCAAGATCCACAGATGCTGGTGCTCTCAAAGAAGCAATAGAGGATGTGAAATCTTCAGCACAGAGAGCCAAAAGGTGAGCTGCAGCTGCTACTAGAGCTAGGTGTCTAGAGCTGCAAAGAAAATCACAAGGGGAGGGAGTAGGGCTGATGCCGTCAGGGTCCCAGGAGAAAGTTGAGAATAAAAGTAGAGCAAGAAGGCAGGGCACACACCTGGAGAAGTACCATAAACATAGAAACTGATGGACACTGTCTCCAGCACTGAGATTCAGTGATGACTGCATTTTTTTTTGTGTGTATATATAGATCCACAACTGGTTATACAAGCATGGTGTTTATGGGGCCAAGCAGGGAGTCATCCATGGCTGCCAGTTGTTTGCCAGCAGAGACTAGTCTCTCCTATTTTAGCCCATGTCTTTGGATGGAACTGTTATTTCAGTTGAAGGAAAGAGAAAAAAACATGCCTGACATTGGAAAAACTCTGGAAGAAATACTGTAGTCTGTGGTGGGACTGTGAACTGCCCCTCTCTCAGTATTAAGTTGCAACAAAAAAGCCTTTGTCTGTAAAAACTGTGACAGCTCTCAGTTGTCTTTATCTTCTCTTCTTTTCCCCCCACTCAGTGACTGTAATTCAAAAGTGCCAGTATGCACGGCATACTTTATTTCATAAACAGTATATTCTACAGAAAACCCAAACAGGTAAAATGCTAATTGCCAGACCTGCAAACCCGTGGGTCCTTTGGGTATCATATGTAGTTCTACAAAATGCCAAGCATGTTAAATGCTCTAAAGGAGCTACCTAAAAGAACTGTGAGCTTTCTTCATCAATGCCTGGGAGAGACAAGTACATTCATTTGCTTGCAAAGTGTGCTTATATGTCTCAGTGGTGCACCTTTAAAAGCAAGTTCATAAATGCTTAAATTATTCCTGAAGAAATGGAGCAGAGATTCCTAAGATTTTTTTTGGTGAAGATTAATATCTCTAAATTTTAAAAAAAATTAACTGAAGATCCCAAACCACCAAACTCCTCAAATCACACAGAGCCCAACCTTGCTTTTTATGAGTTGTCCAGCTCCACCATTGTCCAGAACTCTCTGTTTCAGTGAATTTTAAATTAAAAACTCTCTAATTTTCACTGAAATATATTTTACTTAAACACAATTATTTCATATATTTTCTATGAAGTCAGAAAATCAGAATGAGGTGAATGAAACAAAGTGGTCAAATCAGAAATACTTTTTGAAACTCAGCTGAAGATTGCCTTTTTATTGTCCTGATTGAAAAAGTCAGCCAGTCATTTATAGCACTAAAGAATCCCCTGAGGACAAGAAAATAATTTCCTGTTCTAGGCACCAGATCCCAGGGTTGCTTTGGGAATGTTACAATTTAGGTTTGTTCAAAAGGAAAGGAACCTATCAGCTATCTCAGCAAGATCACACATCCAACCCTGGTCACCTTTTATGTTTATTAGCTACCATAATGCTAAGCATTTAACTGCAGCAGCAGATTTATCCCAGTCTCTACAGAATATCTCTTGCTTTATCAGTGTGATGGAGGATTTACTGTCAGATGTGGTCTTTTAAATCTTTACAGTTGCTGTCCTGCTTGTAGGAGGGTTGGGACTCCTGCTGTATTTCTAATCTTCTCTATTCAGTTATTTCACAAACACAACCTGGAAAATAGTCTGAGTTTGGAATAAATCTTCATTTTAATCCTCTTCACATGTACACAGGCACTCCCAGTCTTGGGAAAGGTAGTTATTGGAGAACTACTCATGTAATTAAAGCTAATAACATGTCTGAAAGTTTCCAGGCTACTGCTTTAGAAGACAAGCAATGCAAAAGGAAAGGAGGAAAAGATCTAACAAAAAATTCAGGTAAATACAATACACCTACACACGCACACACACACATACACACACATATATATATGCACACATATGCCTATATGTACATATATACATGCACGTATGTATATATAATTAGAACCTTACTGTGCATTTGTTATTGGTCATAGATGTGGAACAGAGCATCTGATGCTACTTAAAGAGGGTAGAATGAGTTTGCTGGAAAGGAGAGAACCAAGAACATTAGAGATCACCAGGTAAGTGACACCACAGTACCTTCCCATACAAAAATTTTGTCTCTAAAGAGTTAAAGGTGAGCATTATTATCAGTACCAGGAAGGCCTGTTGCCTTAAAGATTATATAGTTGTCACCTCTGTATGTTCCATATCTACTGCAGATGGCTATGAAAATCTTACAAAATAGTATACTACTAACCTTGTGTATGATCCAAGACATGTACCACTGTGGCTCTGTGGGGGTTTGTTACATTACGTTTACATTAAGGTAAGATTTTACTATCAACCCTGGCACTACTTTCAGATTAAGCAAGAGATGCTGATAAGGTGAAAATGAAGTGCTATTTTATTTTATCCAAAAAGTGTTGATGATTCAGCCTCAAGGCACTTCTCTATGCAGTAGCATGTGGTTACATCCAATATAATACTTACTCCAGGTAAGAAAACTCAGGGCTCACACTCTCCTGAAGTGCTTAAACCCACCTTCAGCCTGTGCTCTGACTGTGTTGAAAGTTTACTGTGCATAAAGTTTGTTCCAGATTTATGTTAACTCATAAGCTGCTGCATGCATGTTCACACCCAAAGTAAATGTATATGTGGAAAATTAGAGAATTGTACCTTGTAAATAACAACTTATTAATTTAGTCCCTTTATAAATGTTGCCATATGTATATAACAGACTACAGTGGATTACATCATTTACTTTGCAGCCGCAACAATTTGATCAATAGGTCAGTGGGCTGTGCTGGATTTTTAATCAAACAGATTGTCTACTGTACAGTCAACACTTATCTTTGGCAGTTTCCCTTTAAGTGGAGGTTAAAAGTGCAGAAGATCAAAACCTGCACTCAGTGCACCTCACTTTTCAGACTTGCTATTATAAACTTTTACATTTCCCCCTATATGTAATTGTATATCCATACAGGGACACAGGTTGCATTTATCACAGACACAAGCATAAAGATATGTCATATTTTTGAAAAAAGAAGGCTTGATGAAAGTCATTGCCACATCCTGAAAAACAGCATATTTGTCCCAGGTCCAAGAGGGAAATAATTTGTGTTTATTTTACTGCTGAGTAAAGCCTTCAAGGCTGTAACACTAAGGCTCAGAGGAGTCTCGGGTTTGTATCTACCCTGACAGATGACTCTCATGGAAATGTCTTTCCTGCTGTCACTAGAAAGGTTGGGGGCATTACAAAGGAAACCTAAAAGTCTGGAAGACTGTAGCCCCATTTAGAGAGGCAAAGGAAATTTCTATGTCAAGTATGAGGGTTATGCCCAGATTCCCTGTGCAAAGCCAAGGCAAAAAAGCTATCACACTAAGCTGACAAGAAAATTATTATGGTTTAACCTGTGCTTCACATTTGGACTAAAAATTAACACTTTCTGATGTATCTAGTTTACAACAAAGTCTTCCTTCTTATTTCAGGAGAAGCAACCCAGGAGAAAACATGGAAAGAAAAAGATGTGGCTTTTCATAAGGGAAAAATATTTTCAAGTTTGGTGCTTGTAAATATTCCAATGCACAATTTTCATTAACCTTTATGTCAGAGGGCTTTGGGAGAGTTAATTTTAGGGAAATACAGGTGTAAAATCCAGCAAATGCCAGATGGTAGTGAAAAATTGTATTCCAGGGAGACTTAGAACAAAGCAGTACCAGATGACCTCTGACCCATGTAATTTGTGCTTCTCCATATACCCATCAGTCTTATGCAGCATGGAGCAGGGTGAGAGCTGAGATGAGGTTAAAGCTGGCCTTTACCTCCTAGAGAAGTCTTTCTCCCTCCCTTTCCAAGGCATTAGAGCTGTAGAATTGCTCATTTTCCTGGAGTTGCTGTTTCTTACTCTTAGTTCTTGCTCCAGTTAATTATGTGCTGAAACAGTGTCTTCCTGTGTATGGATACAAATGGGTTTGTCTGCTAAAACACTGTTAGCTTGCCAAGATGACATAATTTCCAACTCTACATCCAAGGATCTTTTTAAATAGCATCACCGTCCTCCTGCACTTAGAGCTTAAAATATTAGACAGCTTCAAAAACACCACTGTTCACTCTCCTTTTTAACACCCTCCACATGGTCTGCGTTATTTTATTAGACTGAGAACCTGGAAAGAAAACAACTTCTCTGTCTGGAAATAGCACATGTGAAGGTGAGAAACATCAGCGTCTACAGCATACGCCTATCTCTCAGACTAGAGACAGAAACTCATTAGTGAACTTGGGCTGTCCCTCAGGCTTTTTGTTCCTTGCAGCAGGATGGCAAGAGTTCTAGATGTCTGACACTGTCTCTGAACTTCCCTGGCAAAGAATATTTCTGCATGTGTTATCCAATAAACAGTTTATTGAAAGAGGAATACACTAGACATGATTGAAACCACACCAAAACTCTATCAACACAGGACATGAAACAAAGAAGCAAGGAGCAGAGTGATCCACATAAGAGGGTCCTCAAAGAAACTCAGGGAAGGTGAATACTTCCTCCTCTCAAACCTCCCTGAGTTTCCAGTTTACTGCAAGCATCTTGAAAAATCCTTACTCACTCTCTGTTCTTAACATTACAGCAGCACCACAAACATTTTGGTAGTTACTGCCCTGTCATGCATTGAGAGACTGCATTGCTGTGCTGACAAACTTCCAGTTTGGAGGTGACTCAGGTATTGAGAAGGCTATATGGCTGACTTGTTCAGCATTGCTCAGTCAGTGGTAAAGCGTAAGCATCTATGCATGTTTTAGCTCTTCCCCTCTGTAGGAAGAGACAAAAGCATACCTTTCCATTCCCTGAGGTATTTGTTTTTTTCCTTACAGATTGAGAAAAAGACTAACAGTCTGAAAAAATCAGTAGATGAAAAACTGTAATAGTTTAATTGTTGCTGGCTAAAGAATATAGAGGATGAGATTTCAAGGGACCTGTCATGGCCTTGTTACTTCATTCTGGGTATCATCAGGGATTACTCTAAGTCCTCACCTGGTCAACTGGCTGGCCAATCAGAGCCATGACAGACATCATGTAGTCCTGATTTCTGAGGAGCGTAGTTCTTCTGAAAGCTGTCCAAAGAGCTGA